ATCCAAAATGAAATAATATGAGGACAGAAAATTGCATAAAACTGTAATAAATTTTACCCATTTCTTGATTTTCTCTCATAAAAATACTACAAGCAATTAAATCCGTCACAAATCAAAATAAATTAATAAATTATTTTGAGTAATAATATTAAGAGACATAATATGAGGAGAAAAAGCATAAAACTGGCATAAAAAACAAATAATGGAATATATTCGAAATTATTTTGAAACGTAATTTGGGATAATTCTTCGACCTGAAACTGCTTTTACTGAATAAATTTTTCAATTTTTGTTATTCGGCGTTTGCACTTACGAAAAATTCTTAAATTAATTAAACCTACACTCTCAATAATTTTTTGTCAATATTGTCACCGGCTGTAGGTACTATGCAATTCTACCACTTCGGTAATAATTTATCACCGAAGGGTAACATATACACAGAGGCTAAATCCCGCTCAGCCCCCATTGTGTCCGCTCGGGTAACAAAATCGGAGGCAATTTGTTACCCACAGAAGACAATTTGTTACTATAATGTTACCACGCGGTAGAATTGCATAGTACCTACAGCCGGTAACAATATTGTCAAAAAATTATTGAGAGTGTAAATAAATCAAGGTACATTACTAAATTTTGAAATTAATTAAATCTACAAATCAAGGTGAATTACTAAATTTTAAAATTATTTAAATCTACAAATCAAGGTGAATTAGTCAATTTTCAGGAATTTATCCGAGAGAAATCCAACTTTGTGGACATGTCGGAGAGCAAAATTGTACACAGGATAAATTATAAAATGTGTTCGGAAACTATTTGTGGCATACTTAATGGGTTTTAAATGAATTAAACCCACTGGGTTTTACCCATACCTGTTCAAAAATTTAATTTTCATTCAAAGTTCAGTCATCTCGATTTCTGAGTGAAGATTTTCATTCACATTCAATCATTTTCTTTCAAAGTCATTTCAGTTAACGTCATCTGACTTCAGTTCTTACTTCTCCCAATGTATTGGGCATAGGGTGAAAAATGGAATGAGTGAGAAATCCTTTCATTCACAGTCATTCATCTGAAATGACGGAATCTTTCAGTCTTTAAAATTGACTGTCCATCAAAATGTCTCATAAGTAGCAGGAGAAAATTGAAACAATGTGTAAGTGTTTATGTAGATAATATATTTTAAATTTTGCAATTCATGATTTTCTCTCGCAAAAATACTACAATTTTACTAAATGTATAAGAAATCAAGATAAGTTGATAAATTCTTACTCATAAACTTAAGAAACATAATATGAGGATAAAAAGCATAAAACTGCAATAAAAATAAATCAAATCATGGAATATATTCGGAAATTATTTCCATAATGCAAATGGATTCTTTCTGATCTGAGACCGTTTTAAGGGAATACATTTTTTAAACTTTTTTGTTCGGCGTTTGATCTCGCAGAAATATTTAAATTAATTAAATCCATACCTGTTCAAAAATTTAGTTTTCATTCAAAAGTCAGTCATCCCGATTTCTGATCGAAAATTTTCATTCACATTCAATCATTTTCGTTCAAATTCATTTCATTTCACTTCATCGGACTTCATAATTTTTTCTTCTCCCCGTGTATTAAACACACTGTGAAAAATAAAAGTAGTGAATAATCCTTCATTCACAGTCATTTGTTTGAAATGATGGAATCTTTCAGTCATTTTGATTCAAATGATAGGAAATTCGTTTTCATTCACTATCATAATCAGTCAAATGAATGAAAGTGAACAGGTATGACTAAATCTAATAAAAAATCAAGGTAAACTAATAAATTTTGACATAATCCATAAAAATATGATATCCTGAAAAATATGATATCAGGATACAAAGTTGCTTAAAAGTGTAAATTTAAAAATAAATCAAAGCTAGGAATATGTTCGGAAATTTTGAAACATAATGCTTACAGAATTGTTGTAAAGTTGAAACGGTTTTCAGAAAATACATTTCTGTAATTTTTTGTTTGTGCTTTAATCTCGAAAAAATACCAAAATTTATTAAGCCTACACTGTAAATAAAGTTGAGTAAAATTGCCACCAAAGCAACTATTGAGTAAAATTTACCCTGACAAAGGTAAAATTTACTCAAGGTTGAGCAAAAATCTTTCAACCTTGAGTAAATTTTACCTTTGTCAGGGTACATTTTACTCAATAGTTGCTTTGGTGGCAATTTTACTCAAAATTGAGTAAATTTTAATCAAATTTATTTAGAGTGTATACACTCAGAACAAAACTTAAGCAAATTGCTACTGGGCGGTGTCTATATATGACCTCACCGGTTTGGTAGCGATTTTCTACGGAATTGTAGCAAATTTGCTACCATCTTGTAGCATTTCCTTACCCTGCTTTTACGGTTAGTCAAAATGTGGTAGCAAATTTGCTACAATTCCGTAGAAAATCGCTACCAAACCGGTGAGGTCATATATAGACACCGCCCAGTAGCAATTTGCTTACTTTTTGTTCTGAGTGTACGTAAAGGAATGAAGGTGAATTAATAAATTTGGATGAATTTATCCAAGAAAATAATTTTAGAAGGGGATAAAGTTGATCGTAAAATGCGTTCCAAAATGGTTAGAAATTGGGTTTCGGATTAGTTTTGAATTTTGTTTTTAGACTAATTTTGCTTTCCAAAATTATTATTTATCGTTTTAAGAATAATTTAGTTTAATTAATTAAATCTCGAAAAATAAGATAATTGGTATTAGAAACATGACTTGAGGATTAAAAAATTACATGAAAATGTAACCACTAAATTCTGCAATAATACTTTCGAAAATTATTGTAATTATTGTAATATGAACAAATTTATGATCTATGCACAGTTAAAAAATAAATTTTTCGAAATTTTTCTTATTCGGTGTCCACACTCATAAAAATAAATCATAAAAATTAGAAAAATGTGTTCGGAACATACCTGTTCACTTTCATTCATTTGAGTGATTATGATGGTGATTGATAGTAACTTAAAATGCATTTCCTGTGATTTGAATGAAAATGAGTGAAACTGAAACTGTTTATACTAAAAACAATTTGTATTTTTTCTATTCGGCAGTTGCCAAAAATATTTAAGACCGTTTAATCTATAAAAGAAATGAAGGTGAATTAATAAATTTAACGTTTTTGACAAATTCAATATTTTTGAAAAAGTTTGACAAATTTTATTTTATTTTGAAATTTCTATTCGTCGTTCGTCGTTTACTCTTCGAAAACATTTTATAATTCATGTTATAAAGTTGTATACAATTTTTTATAACAAAATTAAGTATACAAAAGAAATAAGAAATTTCTGAAAACTCTCAAATAAATCTTACTATGAGTTCAGAAACGATACGCACGATAATTGATTAATCTGATTTTTCTGTTTTTAGTGATCAAAATTTTCAAAAATTTTCTTTACTCTCGTAAAAATCCGTACATTTATTTCGTCTAAAACATCAAGTGGAATGAATCAAACTTGATTAGTTTTGACAATTTTCGAATACACTGTATAATCTGTTACAGGTTTATGCAATTTTGTTATCTACATATATTTCAATAATTAATGTTTTTAATTTTAAAAAATTTTTAAATTAATTAATTCTTAATTTGTTATCTTTATTATACAAAATTGCATATACGCATTTCTACAATGCGTGAATATATGATGCCTAAGAGAACTGTAGGATTTGATCTTTAACTGTTTATATGGAATAAAATTTTCAAAATTTTTTTATTCGGCGTTTGCTTCGAAAAAATACGGAAACTAATTTAATCTAAAAAATCAATACTGATGAAATAAACAACAAAATGCGTTCGAAAATGTGTTTCGAATATTTACATAATGCAACAAAACCCACCGCCGATGTATAAATATTTTGAGTAAATGAATTTTTCACATTTTTTTCTATTTGGCGTTGTTCAGATTCCTAATATGTAGGAATATGTTTGTATTTTCGAGTCGGAATGTGTAGATTGCATTTTTGTCAGTCTGCATTTAAAGATGCAGATTGAGCGCAATTTACATAGGTATTGCGGTAGAAACATGCAAATCAATGTATATGCGGAAGTGATGGCAGGTATGTTACGCTGCATCACTTTCACATCTTCCAAACTCATCTTGGTTGGCTTGGCTCAACACTAACTCTTGGTTGGATTAGGTCTGAACCTTATAAGTATCACACTTTTGTAGCAAATAGAATTACCAAAATTCAAGAATTGATTCCGGCAGATAAATGGGGATTCGTTCGTGGAATTGATAACCCAGCTGATTGTGCATCGCGTGGAATAAGTGTCCAAGAATTTATCAACCATCCTTTATGGTGGAACGGACCGTCTTGGTTAAATGAGAAACCACCGGTACCAAGTTCAACAAGTGAAATCGTGAATAAACCTGAACCAAGCGAAGAAAGACGTGATACTTTAGTGTGTCATTTAACAAATGTTAGAACACCAAGAGACTTGATTCTAAGGTACTCAACTTTAACCAGATTGCAACGAATCACAGCAAGATTGTTAAGATTTATACAAAATGCAAGAGCAGCAGTCCAGAAGAAACGTGGATTTGCAGCTGAACCAATTAGTAACCCATGGCTGTCAACAGTGGAACTTGATGTCTCTCTTAGACGTTGGATTTCAATCGCTCAAGAGGAAGAGTTCGCTTCAGATCTGTTGCAGCTTAGAACCAAGGGAAATTACTCAATACAAGCAGTTTATTATCATTGAATCCATTCCTTGACAAAGACAACATTTTGCGAGTGGGGGGAAGGCTTCGTCATGCAAACATTCCTGTGCATCAGAAACATCCAATTCTGCTGCCACCGCATCATAGGATTACGGCGATGATAATTGAAAGTGCGCATTTATTAAACTTACATGCTGGAACACAAAGTTTGTTATCTTATCTACAACAAAAATATTGGATTGTTCGAGGAAAGGATGCGGTGAAAAGGATCATTCGAAAATGTGTCATTTGTACAAGAAATCGAGCAGAAACCATGCAGCAGATGATGGCAGATCTACCTTCATTTCGAGTAACTCCATCTCATACGTTTCAGAAATGTGGAATTGATTATGCTGGACCAATTTTAATTAGACCCATTCAACCCAGAAGTAAGGTGACACTAAAGGCATACTTAGCGATATTCATTTGCTGTGCGACTCGAGCCATACATTTAGAAGTAGTTAGTTCGGCCAGCACTGAAGTAATTATTGCTGCCTTAAGAAGATTTATTGCTAGACGTGGAAAACCATCGGATATATACAGCGATAATGGAACCAATTTTGTCGGAGCTGACAAGGAGCTAAAGGAGTTACAGAAACTTACCCACAGTGTAAACCACAATAATCATATCTCATTGACAATGTCTAAGGAAGGAATATCTTGGCATTTCAACCCACCTTCAGCGCCACATTTTGGAGGACTCTGGGAGGCAGGGGTGAAATCGACCAAATACCATCTTAGAAGAATAATGGGATTAAATCGATTAACATTCGAAGAATTGACAACTCTTACAAGCCAGATTGAAGCAGTGCTAAACTCAAGACCATTAACGCCTGAGTCAACTGATCCATCGGATTTAAGAGCACTGACACCTGGACATTTTATCATTGGTCAACCATTGACGTCGATTCCTGATCCGGATTTAACAGAAATCCCAACGACCAGACTCGTGAGATGGCAGCTAATTCAACAGATGCTACAACAGTTTTGGAAAAGATGGTCGCCCGAATATATAGTCAGATTACAACAAAGACCAAAATGGATGCAACCAGTGGAATCAATTAAGGAAGGTTCACTGGTAATAATCAAGGAAGACAACCTCGCACCATTACATTGGAAACTTGGACGAGTTATGGAAGTCAAACCAGGAACAGATCAGAAGGTCAGGAAGGTATTGGTGAGGACAGCTACTGGAGAGTACGAGCGACCAATCGTGAAGCTGTGCATACTACCTATTGAAACTGAACCCACGGAATTGAAGAAGGAGGATTAATTTAGTTAATATTAAGTAATATTATTTTTGAACTAGTTAGTCCAAGGGGGTCGGAATGTTCAGATTCCTAATATGTAGGAATATGTTTGTATTTTCGAGTCGGAATGTGTAGATTGCATTTTTGTCAGTCTGCATTTAAAGATGCAGATTGAGCGCAATTTACATAGGTATTGCGGTAGAAACATGCAAATCAATGTATATGCGGAAGTGATGGCAGGTATGTTACGCTGCATCACTTTCACATCTTCCAAACTCATCTTATGTAGATTGAGTTGTCCAGTTTTGCAGTTTGCTAAACAGGTAAAATGGTAGTAATTTATGTATGCATGTATTTGTTACAATGTTGAACAAACAATGATTTATGTAACTTACATAACTTGCATAACTTGCAAATAGATTTATTTTTAGTTGGAAAATGGAATGTATTAGTTAGCATACACGGGTGCTTTTCCGTCCGCTCTGCAGTATAAAGCTAGCCACGGACCAGAGCCCGCGTAACGCCCATTTAATATTTTTGTAACACAGGGTTGTTCTGCACAAGAGTGAATCGCAAGTCTCACATTGCCTCAAATGAGAAATTGAGATTGCAAAATTATTAGTATCAAATTACCCATAGGAATTGTATCAGTTTACCCATAAGAAATTAACGTATCACATTACCCCATATTAACCATTAATAATAGAAATAGTATCATGCAAGTCTGTATGTACTTATGAATTAATTACGATTAAAAACAGGCGTTTACTCTCGAAAAAATACTTAAATCTAGAAAAAATCAAGCTGAATTAATAAATTTTGAAATAATCCATCCGAGAAACACGTGAGGGAGGATACAAAATTTGAAAAGCTAAAATAGGTAAGTAAATAACTGAATGTGTTCGAAAATGCTTTTGAAGTAATGTTGAAGAATATTAAAAAATGAGGTTTATACTAATCCGGTCTTTAAACTTGTTTCAAGGAAATGAATTTTTCAAAATTTTTGCATTCGACGTTTCGTCATTTTTACTGTGGCAAAAAGGGTGAAATTAGTTAAACTCAAAAACTTAGGGTTAATTTGATACATTTATTTGAGAAAAAAGCTTAAAACTTAATAAATAAACTTCATAAATTAATTAAATCATAAAATTCATTCGAAAAATGGTTTAAAATTTGCCTTAATGACAGGAAATTCATTATCATTTACTATTGTAATCATGATAAATTAATAAATTTTGATTAAAATCAAAATGAGAAAGAAACGAAATGAGAAAACTGAAACCACTAAATCATGGAGTTCAACATGTTCGAAAATTGTTTTGAAGTATGATCCCGTAAAAATATGCATCGAATCTTTGAATATTTCAAAAACTGTTCTTTTCACAATTTTACTTATTCGGTATCTGCTATCGCAAAAATACTTAATTAATTAAGCCTTAATAAAATTCGACATGTATAAATAAATTTTGATGAAATTATACGAGACAAATTTAACTATCTAAATGTTAGTGAAGTTATAATTTTAATTCGCGGAAACAAATTACTGAAGCATATGTTCGAAAATAGTTTTGAAGGATGAAGCCCACCATACCTGTTCATTAAATTAACCTTAACTAAAATTGTTGTGCGTCAGCAAGTTAACTGAATTAAGATTAGAGAATGTTGAACTTGAATGATAATTTTACAAAAATGACAAACTGAACAGTTTCTATTAACAAGTTAACGATGTAATGCAAAAAATATTTAGAAATAAAGCCAAATCTCAAATAAGGTTACGGACCAGGATTTTAACAAAACTGTTCATGAGGTTTTCTTCAACATGATGAAGGCTTACTCTATCGAAAAAGAAAACTTGGTGATTGGGGTTCAGTAATCCAATTTGGTTGCTTATTTAATATATTGCTGTGCGTTCCTAATTTTGAGTAATTCGTTCTGATCATTGAGTAAGAGTCATCGGATATCGTTATCTATAATCAATTAATGATCAAACTTCTTACATATGATCCACATTTAAGAAAACTGAATTTTAAAACCTATCAGTACAGCTTTGCTTAGCCCGAACCAGGATTAGTAAACCCATATTTGTCCGTAGTTTTCTATAAAATTATGTGCTACTATTTTACATAATACACTAATTCTTGCATTAAGTAGCATCAATCCTTCGTATTACTAGGCTCAAAATTCTAAAAATATTTACAATCCCTTACACTTGCTACTTCCCAGTGGAGGTCACCTCTATAGCCCATTCGATTAATTTTTGTTCATATTTCACTTCATATTATTTCATGAGAAAGCAGTAAGGATCTCTGGTCCAAATTTCAGCTTTCTATGTTAATTTGTAAAAATCGGTACGGGTCACCCCTAGGGTCGCTCTAGATAAAAATGTTACCAATTTCATGTCATATTCTTCCATTAGGACCCATAAGCAACCTCTCCACCAAATTTCAGCTCGATATGACGATTTTGAAAAATCCGTATGGATTACCCCCTAGGGTCGCTCAAGATGAAAATTTTTCCAACTTGAACTGATTTTCATCTATTAGGAGCCATTAGCAACCTTTGTGCCTAATTTCAGCTTTCTACGACAATTTTGAAATTTTGGTGCACAAGACCCCACCCACCCCGATGACCCCCACCGGTCAACCACTGGACCGATTTGGCCCATCTTCGAACTCGTTTCCTAACTTTGTCCAATGTGCGTATGGTAAAAATTTCAAGTCAATCGGTCAACTCGTTCGAGAGTTATCGAAAGACAGACGGACGGACGGACTGACGGACATGCCAATTACATAAGCCCTGGTTCGGGCTAAAAATTTAAGCCTACATAAACAAATTTTTGAAATAGCTGGTCATAGAGGACAACATTATAATCTAATAGTGGCAAAGTTTAATTATTGTAAATTTTTCATATCAATATATGATCATCAAGAAGGTATATATCCATTAAACAATTGACAACGGCCCACGGTGAGGCAATGGTCCCTAATGCATTTATTTGTTGGGATATTTACCGAAATTGATAAATCCTAGGATGAACACTGATGCACCACATTATTTTAGTACACGATGATAACAGCTTGTTTTCTCCTTTTAAGCAAGCCTCACCTAAGCTTTTTTTTAAGAATTTATTTATTGAAATATTTATTAGTGGTTTTACCCTAGAATAAAGATATTTAATTAAATTACTTAAATTACAAAAAACAAGGCCCTAAAGTTTATATGCGGATAAAAAAATTTCATACAATTTTGTGTAAAGACAAATAAATTTTGAAACCTTTTCGAAATTCTTCCTTGTCAATTATGTAAATATATATGATGCCTGGAAAATGTAGTAATCTGTAACTGTTTTAGTACATACATTTTTCCAAAATTTTTTAATTTGACGTTTACCCTCGCAAAAATAGATTTAAATTAACTAAATCTTTTAAAAATCTAGGGGCATTAATATATTTAGATGCATTTATTTTAGAAAATAAAAGACGAAATTTCAAAACACAAAGCCAAAAAATTTGTTTGCGGATAAAACAATTTCGTACAATTAAAAAATAATAATTAAAAGATTTACATCTAATAGTCTGTAACTGTTAATTGTTCAAATTGAAATTGTCAAAATTGAAATTGAAATTGTCAAAATTGAAATTGAAATTGTCAAAATTGAAATTGAACTTGTTCATATTGAAATTGAAACTTAAATCTTAAATTTAAATTGTCAAAATTGAAATTGAACTTGTTGAAATTCAAATTCAAATTCAAATTGTCAAAATTGAAATGCAAATTGTCAAAATTGAAATTGAAATTGTCAAAATTGAAACTGAACTTGTTCATATTGAAATTGAAACTTAAAATTTAAATTTAAATTGTCAAAATTGAAATTGAACTTGTTGAAATTCAAATTCAAATTCAAATTGTCAAAATTGAAATTGAAATTGTCAAAATTGAAATGCAAATTGTCAAAATTTAAATTTTCTGGAAATCGAATTCTTTAGTAACATGTCGTCGCACTAATTCTAAAAAGACGTAAGTGCATTCGATGCTTAATTTTAAAACCACGTAAGTGCACTCGATGTTTAATTTTAAAAAGACGTAAGTGCACAAAAAAAACTAGTAAAAAGACGTAAGTGCACTTTTAAAATTATAAAGAGTAATTACTTGTTCAAAACTGTCCTATCAAGGGAAATTTGAACTTATTGGCCCCCGCAGGCAAGTAATGAAAAACAATTCAAAATTTAAAAACCACACCCTCAGGGGGTGTGGTTCTCGGCACCTAGCGTAAGGTGAATTAAATCCTGACGTATTTATTTCTTCACCTCGGTGACGCAATTCCTAAAGATTATTAAAAATTTAAAAACCACACCCTTTGTGGGTGCGGTTCTCGGCGCCTAATTTTCAATAAATAAAACATGGCAAGCAATATATCCTTTTTCTCATCTCGATGATCCATATTCGACGATACATTCAAAATTTTAAAACCAAAACATTAAGGGGGTGTGGTTCTTCAAGCAAAAATTGCATTTTGACGTGGTTACACCCCCAAAGTTTCAAAGATTGCACTTCAACGTGGTTACACCCCGAATTTTCTAAAATTGAATTTTGACTTGGTTACACCCCCAACGTTTCCAAAATTGAATTTTGACTTGGTTACACCCCCAAAGTTTCAAAAATTGAATTTTGACTTGGTTACACCCCCAAAGTTTCTAAAATTGAATTTTGACTTGGTTACACCTCCAAAGTTTCCAAAATTGAAATTTGACTTGGGAAAACTTTGAGGGTGTAAACAAATCAAAATTTTGATTTGATTTTGAAGTGCAGTGAATGTTTTATTCAGAAAAGACCTAAGTGTGCAGAAAAAAAGGACGAAAAGACCTATGTGCAAGTATATATGTATTTACGTATGGCTAAATCGCGCGATATATATGAAAAATCATTTTGGCAATATATAGCCATAAGTAAATACATACTTGCACATAGGTCTTTTATCCTTTTTTTCTGCACACTTAGGTCTTTTCTGAATAAAACATAGACT